CCATTTAGCACTGGGGTTGATTTACTAAAGAAAAATAGTCTGTTCACTGCAAGGGAATTTTCACTCTTTGCAAGGGCATTGTTATTTAGCTTAGAGAATGTGGTGAGAGCTTCACCTCTTTCACTAAGCTAAGTAAAAATTCCCTTGCAATGTGAATGGCCTATTTGCCAGCGGTGGTTACAATGCTTAGCTTTTCTTTTATGTAAAACCTTTATCCCAAAAGAAAAAAAATCTATTGCTCTAACTACTTAAAAAAGGGTTTTACTGTAGATGGAGTTCAGCTTTAATTTGTTAGTCAAGTAAGTCTAAATTTGCTTGTGAATCTAACACTGTCCTCTCCACAGGTTGACAATACAGCTGTCTGAGGGAGTTTCTGTTGAAAATCAATGTAGCCACATTTAATGGCAATTAGGCTACAAAATGATTATTTTTGTAGGGTTCAGATACTTCTTAAAGCCTTCTTTTCCACCAAAATGCTCAAAAATTTATTTTCAGTAGAAGATGCCTTTGTAATTTTCAGCTACATGAAAGCGGAGTTCCTGCTGAATTAAAAAAAAAAAAAATCAGCAGCTACAAAAACTGTAGCTGCTGACTTTTAAAATACAGACACTTACCTGTCCCTCAGTCCAGCGGTGTCCTCACCACTGCTGGTTTCACCAGATGTCTTCTTTCCCCGGCGCTGGCATCTTCAGTGTGGGCACCTGGCTATGATAGCTTGTGGCTTCACAGCCCGGTGCCCACTGTGCATGCGCAAATAGCGCTGCGCTTTCTGAATGGTCCTGTGGTCTTCTGAGACCTGTCACGTGTACCAGAAGTCTACTGGGAGGGAGAGGGGAGGACAGCTTCTGCTTCCGATCGCTTTAGGAGATCGCACCTGAAGTGGGAGCGGGTACCTGTCAAATTCGGGTACCTGCTCCCCAAAGTCAAATTAAGTTTAAAGCTTATTTTTTGGTATTAAGTGATGTCCTCTTCCTATTCTCTCATGGTGGATAGCCCCGCCTGCAGCTCACATTACGATGTGAGCACTGTTCTCTGTGATCCTCTGTGATCCCAGGTCAGCTTCATGATGATTCTCTCTAAAGGGAATATTAAAGTGTTACTAAACTCACAACAGTAATATCAGTCTGTATATGCAGTAAAGCCTGCTTGTTATACTCACTGTGGAACCCAAGGGGTTAATCCTCTACATTGTGTAAAAAGGCCGTTTGGTCCTTCCTTCTTTGTTTTCCTTTTTTCAAGCGGCCACCTCTTATCTCCTAAAACAGACTGAACTGTAGGTATTTGTACAAGCTCAGTTTTGTGTGTATTTGGGTGAGTGCATGTGATCAGCGCTGTCCAGACAGAGGTCAGGGATTTCGCATCCTCCTAGAGCAAAAAGAAAACTCCTTCTACAAGCTTTAGCTAGTGATGGGCTGGACATAGATAGAAGCCACAAGACTGCTCTAACTGCTGATGAGAAAAGGTATTTAGCAGTTTATTTTTACTAAAATAATTGCACTTCCATGTTGTATGTACTGTGAGAGACCAGATATAGTGAATACAGTGTTTAGTAACACTTTAATCTTTAATGATGGCGCTAGCAGGCAGAAAGTGACGGGTGGGTGGCATTGGGGACAATGGTTGTATTTAGGTTTTGTGCTGCCCTAGGCAACACAAACTGTGCGCCACCCCCCCACCCCAATGAGAGAGCGAGAGAGTTCAATGAGTGTGTGTGTGTGTGTGTGTGTATATACGATTCTCTCTCTCTTCTCTCTCTTTCTTTTCCCTCTCTTTCTCTCTTTTCCCTCTCTCTTCCCTCTCACTTTCTCTCTCTCTCTTGCCTCTCTCTCTTCTCTCTACCCCCTCTCTCTTCCCTCTCTCTCTTTTCCCTCTCTCTTCCTTCTCTGTCTCTTTCGCTGCCCCCTCTCTCTTCCCTCTCATTCCCCCCCCTCTCTCTCCCCCCCCTCTCTCTTCTCTCTCCCCCCTCCCTCTCTTCCTCTCTCTTTCTCTCTCCCCCTCCCTCTCACTCTCTCTTTCCTCTATCTCTCTCTTCTCCCCCGTTCTCTCTCTCTCTTCCCTCTCTTTCTCTCTCTTCTTCACCCTCTCTCTTACCTCTCACTTTCTCTCTCTTCCCTCTCTCTCTTCTCTCTACCCCCCTCCTCTCTCTCTCTCTCTCTCTCTCTCTCTCTCTACCTTATCTGTCTCTTTCTCTTCCCCCTCTCTCTTCCCTCTCTCTTCCCCCCTTCTATCTCTTCCCTCCCTCCCTCCCTCCTCTCTCTCTCCTCTATCTCTCTTCCTTTTATCTACCCTCTCTCTTCCCCCCTCTCATTCTCGCTCTCTCCTCTCTCTCTCTCCTCTCCCCTCTCTCTCTCTCTCTCTCTCTTTCTCCCTCTCCCTCTCTCTCCTCTCTCTCGCCTCTCTATCTCTATTCCCCTCTCTCTCTTCCCTCTCTCTCTCCTTTCCCTCTCTCCCCCCCTCTCTCTCTTCCCTCTCTCTCTCATATCGTAGCTCTTTCCTCTCTGCCACTTTTCTTCTCCCTGCTCCAGGCTGTTCCCTCGTCCCAGCTCTGAGTGCTGGCGGGGGAAGGAGCTCAGCGGAGAGCGGCCACCTATGAACACCAGGGCACCCCTTCCACACGGCCAGGTCTGTCTCTCCCTCCAGCAGCAGAAAGCCGGCAGGAGGAAGAGGGGGAGAAACCTCAAACTGGCTTTCAGCTGCTGGAGGGAGAGATACACAGTTCATCCTTCTACAACTGCTGTCCCACACCACACCGATCCTCCTGATGTATGGGCCACCTACAGGAGTACCGGTGGCACCCCTCTGATGGTGACCCTGCATGGCTTTGTCCTTTGCTGCTCACCAAGTCCCTAAATATTGCCGCCCTAGGCAAACGCCTTGTTTGCCTCGTGGTAGATACGCACCTGAGTGGGGAGGATGCAGAGACTGGCACTGGAGAATGGAGAAGGAATATATCCCAGCCTGACATACTACACCACCAATTGAAAAAGAAAGAGCTATTTACAGTATGTGGAATTGGACTTTAAGTGTTCATTCCTGTATATGTCAGCCTTTCTGCCCAGTTCAAGTTGATGGTCCTTAACATTTTGAAGGCAACAACACAATTCTAATTCTGTTTAATTCTCTTGTTGACATGTATTCAGTTCAAAAAGGGTGGAGCATATGTGAGCTCAGTAAGGAAATATTTTCTTTACTGCAATGTCACAATGGAGTGGAGTGCAATTAAGCTGTGTTAACTGTGGTTTAGCTGATAACTATATATTTGGTAATATTTTGTGAAGGTATTGTTCTGTAAGTGGTATTGTCGGTTTGTCTGATTTAGCAGTAGTTGATTTTGTAAGTTTTGCTATGTGTGGGAAGGAATGATTAAAGTTTAGTGAGAGGGGAAGAAAAAAAAAACTCATCCACTTTATATTGATGTGCATGTGGTGGCATTGCCTGTCACATTTAGCAATTAAAGTCCAAACACGGGTTCAGGATCCATCTCCTGTTTGCCCCCTCACCCTTATAAAAGCACCCCCCAAAAAACTTTATATATTTTATATGTGGGCCTTACATCCAGTCACATGATGCCATAGGTATTCTTCATCTTCTTGTTCTTCCCATGGTGGGCATAACGTGAATGCACCACTATCTACAACACTCAGCATTCTCTTGAGAGTTCAGGGTGGGGGGGTGGGCCCAGTGGGCCCTTAACGCACTGGGTCATAGGAAGTGTGTAAAATGGGGATGGGTGTCATTTATCTGTGAGAATAGTGATGAAGTTTTGTTATATTTATTAATGAATTTATGGGGTCAACACTGTATATCAGTCATATGCTGGAAACTAAGATTTTTTTTCCTAACTTGGAAGTGGGCTTTAAGTTATGTTAACTGCAATTGGGACTGCACAGTTTAGAAAATGAAACAGTTTAAAATAGTAAAGCAAAATAAACAAAGGTAACTTTGCAATTGTTTGGGTTTTTGGTGATGTTTAAAGTTTTTGTCTGAAAACTTAAAGCCTTTCCAAACGTAATTTTTTAATTAAAATAATCAATATGTTAAAGTCACCTGCTCTGTGCAATGGTATTCCACAGAGTGGCCCCAAACCTCCTCTTCTGGGGTCCACAACTGGTGATCTTGGCTCCTCCTCTTCTGTGTCTGCTCCCATAGTAAGCCGCTTGGGGGAAGGGGGGGGCAAGCAGGCGGCAAAATGTTTTTTTACCTTTGAAACACTGGACATACAGTATTCCTCAGTTAGTTACAGGTTGTATGCTAAGGATGGATGGCATTCCATAAGAGAGGGTGCAGCTGTGTTGGTAGACAGAGTAGTTAGAGGCATGGAGAAGATTTTTAAGATGTGGGTAAGATAGAAAAAATAGCACATTTTAGGGATAACTGGGAATATTGTTTGCTGGAGTTAACAAGAATAGTAAAGTAATAAGTAGGAAATAAATAAAGTGCAGCGCTAAAAGATGTCAGACAAATATTCGTTCTTAAAAAGTTTGTTTAAAAAGTTCATGCAGTATTCCACTTTGCAATATATTCGTGCAAAATATCAAATGGATGTAATGACAATCAGATGGAGGACACAGCTGTGAGAAATCCAGTGAATATGACAGAAATGCGCACTCACAGCGTCACAAGCTGTCAGTTCCTCCTGAGGCCTTTCGTGCCAAGGCACATCATCAGACGGGGGAGGCTGACCCCCACTGACTATTACACCCCTCCAAGAAAAACTAACTGGTCATTTACCCAACAGAACAAACTTGACCCGCACAATCAACACTATCACTCTAACTACTATTCCACCAATCCAACCCCACGGAAATTTAAAGAAAATGGGGAAGGAAACACCCCCTTCCTAATAACCCTCCTCAAAGGAGGAAATCAACTAACCCCCACAACAATTATCAGTAGCTGGCGGCTCTCTCCGCCAATCCGCTGTGAGCCCCGGGCGGGCAGTGTGCTTTGCGCACTGTGGTGAGGAGTGAGCTCGGTGTGGTTGTGTCTCTTGGGGCTCAATGGCGGTCACCAAGCTGCTCTGGATTCGGATGGGTTACGCCACGGTGGGCGCTGTGGTTGGTCTGTCAGCCTTCCTGGCGTGGAATGTGGCTTTCGGGCAGCCGTGGACTGCGGCTATGGGGGGCCTGTCAGGTGTTTTGGCCTTGTGGGCCCTCATCACACATATTATGTATGTACAAGACTTTTGGAGGACATGGCTGAAAGGACTTCGCTTTTTCCTCTGTGTTGGAATTTTCTTCTTTATCCTGGCTTTTATAGCATTTGTCACATTCCTTGCGTTAGCCATATCCAACCATCAGTCAATCACAGATCCAAAGAACTTGTACTTGTCCTGCATATGGAGTTTCATGTCGATGAAGTGGGCCTTCCTACTTGGTCTCTACTCATTCCGTTACAGGAAAGAGTTTGCTGATATCAGCATCCTCAGTGACTTCTGACCAGCAAATTTCAGTGACTGAAAGCAGATTTTATCAAATGGTCTTAAACACATACCAGCTCCTTGTCTGTCACTCAGTTATGCACAGTGACCTCTAATGGAAATGAAGATGTAAAGGGACTAATGGAGCAGCAGGGCAGATGAGATGTTGCATCCATTCTCATTTTTATTACAGCTCTCTTCATCCTCTATAACTAGTTCTTTTAAACATAACCTTTTCTTTCTTAACCAATGTTACCCATGGAATTTACTAAGCATTTTAACAGCGGTATAGCATACTGCTTCTGTCAGACAAACTTAATCAGCACAGTCACTTTATCTCTGCTTTACCCAAATGGAACTAGAATGAAATGGTCTTGCAGTTTTAGCACACAGGGCTTATTCTGATGCAGCATCCCCAATAAGTTCTGGTATTGATACAGATGTTTTATTTTTACTGGTTTTATATGTGTTACTTTTGAATGTTTTGTACGTGTTCTATGTAAACACGCACAATGAATACCGACTTTTTGTCGCCTAAAAAAAAACCCTTTTTAATTAAATGGTTTCTAAATATAAGCAAATGCAGGAAATTAATCCTGCATTATTTACAAATTATGTAGCAACAATTTTAAATTATTGAAAAATGTACATTTTCTTATTTTAAGAAACTATAAAGTGCAATCTGATAAACCCAAGAAAAAAGTACAGCTACCAGGTGTATACAGTGCTTTGTTAAAATTGTTTGAGTCCAACAAAATTAAATAAAGAAAAAAATGTAAAAAAAGGTCAGCCTCCCCCCTCTGATGATGTGCCTTAGCACGAAAGGCCTCAGGAGGAACTGACAGCTTGTGACACCTCATTGCCGTCCAGACCACGAGGAGGTCTGGTGGCCATTTTACTTTAGGTCTGTACTCACATTTTTTACCTTTGTATTGTCTGGCTCTTGCCAATATTATTGCTGACCTGTCCTTACTCAGTTTGCTATTAATAAAATTTGACAATACTACACTATGGGTATTCTCCCATCTTTTGCCCCTTACTGAGGGGTTACCAGACCAGCAGACACAGCCTTCAGTGCACACTACACCCAGAGGAGGGAGCCTTCACCTGGTTGATTTACCCTGATCCTGAGGAGGTCCTCTGAATCCAGCAGACCATCGCTTGATGACACCCCTTCCTGAGGGAATATGATACCTGCGGATTTAATACACATATGCGCATTTCCTATGCGCGGTCGGTGAGTGCGCATTTCTGTCATTTTCACTGGATTTCTCACAGCTGTGTCCTCCATCTGATTGTCATTACATCCATTTGATATTTTGCACGAATATATTGCAAAGTGGAATACTGCACAAACTTTTTAAACAAACTTTTTAAGAACGAATATTTGTCTGACATCTTTTAGTGCTGCACTTTATTTATTTACTATTTAGATGTGAGGCGGTTGTGATCTCCTCTAGTGCTTTAGCTGCTTATTTATCTATTTATATATTCATACTGAAGGAGCGATAATAGAGTAATAAGTGTATGTGCTACTAACTAAAGTGACAGCAAAATTTTAAATTGCAAATTGGTTAACCGGTTCTGCACCGCCCTATAGCAGAAATACTGCTACAGGGCGGCACGGGTGCGCAAAATCACGTATATATGCATGATTATGCAGTTCCGGGTAGGGGGTACAAAGCAGTGTGCTTAAAGTGAAGCACACACATAGTCAACATAGTGAAACAGCACATAGCACATAGTTAACCCTTTGATCACCCCAGATGTTAACCCCTCCTTGCCCAGTGCCATTAGTACAGTGTCAGTGCTTTTTATTAGCACTGATCACTGTATTGGATGTCACTGGGCAAGTCAGTTCCCCCCAGTGTTAGAATGCCCTCCACAGTTCCGCTATAAGTCGCTGTTCATTGCCATTACTAGTAAAAAAAAAAAGAAAAATTCCAGTATCTATACCACCATTTGTAAACGCTATAACTTTCATGTAAACCAATTAATTTACACGTATTGGGATTTTTTTTTTGCAAAGAAATGTAGCAGAATACATTTTGGCCTAAATTTATGATGAAATTAGATTTATAAATTTTTTGTACTAGACATGTTTAATAGCAAAAAGTCAAAAAATATAATTTGTTTTCAAAATTGTCAGTCTTTTTTTGTTTATAGAGCAAAAAACGCAGAGGTGAAAGAAAGCTCTATTTGTGGGGAAAAAAAAGGATGGAAATTTAATTTAGGTGCAGCATTGCATGACTGCGCAATTGCCAGTTAAAGTAAAGCAGCGTCGTATTGCAAATATGGTCTGGTCAGGAAGGGGGGGTAAATTCTCTGGAGGGCAAGTGGTTAATGCAAGTAGTCTTCCAAACAAAATTGATTATTGGAATTGCTGATGATAAAGTTTATGATTTTAGTAGAAATAATGAAAAACTGGTTGGATGATAGTTATGGATAATTCACATTGTATTGTTATAGTTCTTGTCAACTATCCCTTTATCTCTATTCCCTTTACTAAATGCCTTCAATTCCTTCTTAAATGTCTAGTAGGTTCACTTTTTAATACCTTTTAGCAGCCTTTGTAAATCAAGCTGCCTAGGTACACTGGGGTGCCTTTAGGATTCTCCAGCGGTACCTTGGCAAAATGTCTAAAAATTGCCCCCGATTTGTACACAAGCCAGCAGTAGATCAAGCCTGCCTTTCAGTTACACAAAGCCCCAGCTTTTCATTGTGCGCCATTACAACCTTCCAGTTGCTGGCATCCTAACAGCCAGTGACATCATTGGTTGATAAGGAGGACGTCAGGCGCCTGCACAGCAACTTGATTGTCCCTCTCCTGCCCCTCTTCATCTGCACTGGGGTCACATTAGCTGAGTGAGGAAGAGAAACTGAGAGATAAAAAAAAATGCTAGAATACTAGTTGGTACCAGTTTGCAAAGGTGTATTTGCTTTGGAAGAATAAGGCTCCATTCACACTTGTGTGACTTGTCATGCAACTGTGGACACATAGGGGTTTATTTACTAAAGCTGGACAGTCCAAAATCAGACTCCCTTCTGCATAGAAACCAATCAGCTTCCAGGTTTCATTGCCAAAGCTTCATTGAACAAGCTGAGGTTAGAAGCTGATTGGTTTCTATGCAGAAGGGAGTCTGATTTTGGACTGTCCAGCTTTAGTAAATAAACCCCATAAAGTCGCATTAAAAGTTGCAGCCCATGTATTTAAATGGCTGCCATTCAAATTGATGTAACTTAAAGTTGCAGCAACTTTAAAAAGGTTCCTGCACTACTTTGATGGGACTTTCTTGTGATTTGAGTACCATAGACTGCAATGTAAACTCTCAAAAGTCACATGAAAGTTGCATTTTAATGTTATCAACGTGACAGTTGTGCAGCAGTCAAAGCCAAAGTCACATCCAAGTTGCACCCATCCAAAGTTGCATAAAAGTTGCATCTAAGCTGCAATGTAAAGTTGCACGACTTTAGTGTAGCACAAGGAGCCTAAATCACCTCTAATGTCGGGTGTCCTGCATGTGTGGATGTTGTTGCATTATGTAAAAACTAATAATTTAGATCAGGGGTCTCCAAACTTTCTAAAGAAAGAGCCAATTTACTGTCCTTTAGACTTCTTTTTTGGGGGGACTGTACCCAGTGGGAGTAAACAATGCCCCATCTTTGGTATTGGTGGAGAAATAGTTGGTGTCAGTAGGAGGAATAGTGCCCCATCGGTGGTGTCAGTGGAGGGAATAGTAACCCATTATTGTTGTCAGTTGAAGGAATTATGCCCCATTGTTGGTGCTATTGGCAGGAATATTGCCTCAAGGGCTGGATAAAGGGATGCAAAGGGCCGCATAATACTTTGCCTCATAATCACATATATTTAATAAAACAACCCCTCCCCCCATGTCTGCTAAAACGATTATGACATATTTCCTACTTTTTGCTTTCTAAATTATTGATCCCTTTTATAATTTAACTGGATTCTCTTTGTAATTAATTTTTTTAACCACCTCCCGCCCGCCATATAGTAATATGACGGACGCAAGGTGGTTCTCTCGTCATATGACGTCCTCCCATTCTATCCACGCATGCGCAACTCCTGGAGCGTGCGGCGATCGGCTGTGCGCTATGTCCCTCGGGACACAGCAGATCACTGATCCACGGAAAGAGCCGAAGATGCCGGCTCGGTCATGGGATCAGCTGTGTCCAGTCACAACTGATCACATGTAAACAGGGAAATGCCAGTTAGCCAGTTATCGGCATTTCTCTCCCCACGAGCTGTCACGCTGACAGCTCGTGAGAAGAGGAGAGCCGGTAATCAGCATTCCTCGGAGGGGACATGTACACTGATCATCAGGACACTGATGATCAGTGTGCCCTGATGATCTGTGTAGCCCCAGCAGCGCCACCAGTCAGTGTCCATCAGTGCCAGCTCTCAGTGCTCATCCATGCCACCTGCCAGTGCCCATCAGTGCCACATCAGTGCCACATTTCAGTGCCCATCAGTGCCACATATCAGTGCCCATCTGAGCTGCCTTTCAGTGTCACCCATCAGTGCCAGTTAGTGCCACCTATCAATGCCAGTCAGTGCCATCTATCAGTACTGCCAATCAGTGCCACCTATCAGTGCCAGTCAGTGCCGCCTATCAGTGTGCATCAGTGCCGCCTATCAGTGCCTGTCAGTGCTGCCTAACAGTGCCAGTCAGTGCCACCTAACAGTGCCAGTCAGTGCCGCCTATCAGTGCCACCAATCAGTGCTGCCTATCAGTGCCATATATTAGTGTTGCCTTTCAGTGCCCATCAGTGATGCCTGTCAATGCCCATCAGTGCCACCTACCAGTGCCTCCTCATCAGTGCCCATCAGTGAAGCCTATCAGTGAAGGAGAAAAATCACTTATTTACAAAATTTTATAACAAAAACTAAGAAAAACTGTTTTTTTTTCCAAATTTTCAGTAGTTTTTGGTTTGTTTAAGAAAAAAATAAAAAACCCAGAGGTGATTAAATACCACCAAAATAAAGCTCTATCTGTC